GCGGGGTGGGGGGGGGGGGGGTGGGGGAAAAGCTGTTCCATAATCATGGCCAATAGGAGCAGCAATGGGCGGTGCATGGGAGCAGTGGGAGCCATGTGTCCCACCAGGAAATTGTGTCAGGTAAGTGCCCCCCCATAACCCAGACCCTGCACCCCCAGATTGCTCCTGCACCCCCAAGGTCACTCAAGCCTCGCACCCCCAGCCCGCTCCTGCACCCTACCACCTTCCTAGACCCACCAACCCCCAACCCACTCCTGCACCCACCCTACTGCACATACCCCACACCTCAAGCCTGCTTCCCAGCAACCCCCTCCCACACACTGACTCCTCATTTTTGGCCCCCCTCAGAGTGTAGGGGGGGCCACAAAATCTACTAGCCTGAGCCCCCACAGGCTCTGGTGTGTGAGGGGAATGTGCGGCTCCCAACACATTTTTCTGTAGATCAGGGCCACTGACCCAAGAAAGGTTCCCCACCCCTGCTTTAATGATTCACAGGGGTTTCCTCTGAATCTGCTTCAGTTTATCAACATCCTTCTTGAACTAGGGGCACCAGGACTGGGCACAGTATTCCAGCACTGGCCATACTGATGCCAAATATAGAAGTAAAAATAGAAGGAACAACAGCTAATAACCTCTCTATTCCTACTTAAGATTTGCCTGCTCAACACATTCAGACTGCAAACAGGGCATTTTTTTTAAGTGATGATAATTAATAATTGGAATAAGTTACCAAGGACTGGATTTTTTTTTTCTAAAAAATATGCAGTAGGAATTATTTGGGGGAGGGAAGGGGAGTTACTTGGTATGTGATCTACAAGGTATCAGACTAGATTATCACAATGGTCTCTTCTGGCCTTGGAATATAAGAATTAAAAAGCAAGTTAGCCTCTCTGAACAACATATGTGGGGTAGAATATACACAACCTTTATGAACACAGGATCCTTTGTGCTGCCCAGCCTAGAAATAGAAGAGCTCTTTACAGGAAACAGTCATTTGACCAGCCTTCTTCAAGCTAGATAATTATCCATGATTATTGTGCTTTGCGTTCTGTAACTCCTGCATTAGTCATTAGAATGGGGTGAAGTTTTTCAGACCAATTCATTTATTCTCTGAAAAATGCAGTTTCAAATCAACCCAAAGCACTTTGCAAATGTGAGATTAATTCAAAGAATTCTGTTCAAAAATAACTGTCAGGACTTAGATCCCTTTCACAACACGAGAGGAGGAGGTGCCCTCCTTATAAGTTTTAGCCCAATAGTCAAGACAGTCACCAGGGATGTGGGAGATCCCTGGACAGGTCTCCCACACAACAGGAAAATGCTTTTTCTACTAGGCTCTGGGATGTTCGGGCTTCTCACTCTCCCCTGTTGAAGATAGGGATGTGAAGGTTTAGCTGCTTAACTGGTGGGGCTGGAGCAAGGCTCCTCCAGCCCCACAGGGAGCCCACCATGGACAGGTGCTGCAGCACCCACAGATGCCCTGCAGGCAGGGGCTGCTCCAGCGCTCTAGTCAGTGCACTTCCTGCCTGCAGCAGGGGGTCCGCAGGCCCCCCACTCCAACTCAGGCCCTGCCATAACTACACCAACTTAAGCCCCATGTCCGCACAGAGGTGAAGTTGTCATGTTGGTGTGGTAAGGCGCTTATATTGATGGGAGCAAGCCTGTCATGATCATGAGGGTTAGCCAGCATCCTGGGGACTAAGAGGTTAACTATGTCCCTTACCTAAACCAGGTGACAGGCAGCCAATAGAAATGTAAGAGAGGTTCATATGCCACTTATGGCACGTGTGCCGTAGGTTGCCGACCCCTGCTCTGGTCACCCTGCGGCAGTTACATAAAAGAATCTCAATTTTTAAAAATGCTGAGCACTTCCAACTCCCACGGAAGTCAATGGGGGCTTGTAGGCATCACTTGGGGTCAGCTTTTCAGAAGCCCAGGGGTATTTAGGTGCCTGTCACTGAAAGTCAATAGTAGTTAGATGTGATGTCGAAAATCTGCTTTGGATACCATAACATTTGTGAGGCAAATATTGACCAGTGGAAGTCTGCCTCAGAAAGGCAGAGAGTGAAAATCTCCTTTGGATACCATAGCATTTGTGAGGCAAATATCGACCAGTGGAAGTCTGCCTCAGAAAGGCAGAGAGGTCACGGCAGGCATAGTCTGACTTCCTCACATTTCAATAAGGATTGTAGAGAACACAAGGCACTTACCAGCGACATTCTGTTGTACTTCCAAATTGACATTCACGAAGAATCTGATGCTGTCCCCGGAAACAATTGAGGAATTTACAGTGTCAAAGAGCTCTTCTCCTCCGACTTCTTCTTTGTTCTCACAGCCGTCATCGGTATCACACTTAAGATAACCTGCAAATAAAATTAACACATTTCTTCATTATACTCTTCGCCCTCCACAAGCTATCGAACCAAGACCATAAAGAACATGTCCCTCGTTACATGAAGCATTTTTCCCCACAAGGAAAACAAACCAACAAAAAGAATATTTTAACATTTTTCTTTGATAGTACCTTTATCTCCTCAAGCCTAAAGAGGATTTTCTACTTCTAAATTGTTACTTCTGCAGAAATCACAGTTTTCTACACCAGTGTTTCTCAACCAGTGGTATGAGTACCCTATGGGGCATCTGGGGAGTACATCAGCAATTTAAATTTGGAGAAAACTGAATTTTTAAGTTTTGCAATACTTTATTATTTTTGTACTTTTTATACCCAAAAATTTCATCACCCACCCACCTATGATTAAGTTGTTTAAACAAATGTGTTGCAATGGTAGAAAAAAAAATGTTGTGTGTCTGAAAACTGTAGGTACTGGGGGTGCTTATCATTGTTTTAAAGGGGTACTTTATAAAAAAAAATAAAAAAAAAAAAAAGATTGAGAAACACTGATCTGCACATTCAGGAAGCACAGAATACCACAGCAGAGTTCTGCCACAGGCTTGGAGAAGAATGCTGCTCTACCTGTTAGCATTAGTAAACCTCAGAGTCCCACACAAGATGTGGCACAGGTTGCATGGCATAGCAAACAATTCAGAGAGGCCAAGTAACTTGTGTTTAAAAATGTTGCTAAAAAAACCTTTAAAAATATAAAAAAACAAACAGTAACATTAATTTATATAAGCAACAGAATAGTTGCAAAATACACTTGTTTCTTGTTATAAAATTCCTATTGGTTAGTCTCTAAGGTGCCACAGGACTGCTGGTTGTTTTTAAAATGACAGACTAACACAGTTACCCTGAGACACTTTTTCAGCATTATTCGCATGACTACAGTGCTGGTGAAAGGGGAAGTGACAGCCATATAAAAGGAAGCTTCCCATTTATCTGCAGAAAAGACACAGCAAAACACCTTCCCTATAAACCTAAACCAGGCCGTTTCTAGTGATGAAGGCATAGTTTAATGCCAATGTACATTCAGCCTTTGATCTCTACCCGGAGACTGCCAGCAATGGTGCTAATTAATGCAATATGTGATGTTGAAACTTGTGCAACTGTTAAGAACATTCATCTTATACGTGCCACTCAACTGCTGAGAGACAGTAAAAATTTTTTTTAAATGAGGATCTTGGGGGCTGGGGAGAGGAAAACAAAAAAATCAGCATGGCCCCTTTAAGAAGAGGCTTTTTTGCTGGAGGCCATTTTGTTTTTCTGCCAGACACAAGACAAGCCCCGGCGAAACCAGATCAAGAGGGTGTCGGGGACCTCCTGGGGGCCCGGGGCTGGACACGGTTGCTGAGTGTATCATAGTGTTGCCAGGTGTCTGGTATTTTCGCCGCCTGGCAGGGAAAAAAATCCGAAAATACTGGACATTTTAGGTGTCCGGTATTCTCGGAATTTTACCACCTGACAGGAGGTGAAAATACCAGACTGTCCAGGTGAGTACTGGACACCTGGCAACCCTACACAGGGAGGGAAGTTGGCGGGTGGCCTGTTAGGGCCAAAAAGCCTCACTACCACATGTTTTTTAAAGGGGCCACGGTGTTGGATTCTGGGGTTGGTTCTTTTTTTTCCCCTTTCTTTTTTTTTTTTGGCTCAACAAACTTTTTCCTGGCATGTTTTTTGTTGTTGTTCTTGTTTGGTATTTCTTCTGAAACCATCTGGCAACCCTACCTGAAGGCAAGGGCAAAGAGGATACTGGAGACTGGGGAAGTACCACAAAGAAAAGTACTGAGAAGTTATGCAGCACATGGCTGCTATCTACAGGGTCCCTGGCCAGGACTGTGGAGTAGTGGGCGGGGCTGGGTCCCCCCTTCGTCACTTTGCCACGGAGGAAGCGGCCACGCAATTGGCTGCAGAAGCCACTGAAGGAATCAGCTGTACCGAAAACTGTGACATCCCCAGAAGAGGGGGGCACCGCCAGAGGTCAGTTGAACAAAAACTAATGCAACACAGATTCTTTTTTTTAATCCTTGTAAGCAATCCAAATGTAAAAGGACTGGTCAGAAAGTGTTTAAACTCAAATACGTTTTTCAGGACATCAGGCTAACGTTAGCATTCACAAAACAAAAAACTACCTAATTTCAAGACCGCAAACAGGAACTCTAAACTATGACACTTGAACCTCGGTACTTCCTGTTGCAAATGATTTTTTTTTTAGGCTTGTTCTTGCACAATATATGCTGACAAAAGAAGATGCTGCTTATGCATTTTTTGGTTTAGGTCAGAAGCCTGTGCCAGCTTCCATTCTCAGAAAGTAGAGTTCATCAGACTATTCAGGGCTTATAAGGCCCTACTACTTTCAGAGGAGGGCTCCCGTGAGTTTGAGTGTGCCTTTTAGAACAAGAAAAACAAGGAGTTCTATGGCATCTTAAATACTAATAGGCATGGGCATAAGCTTTCCTGGGTAAAACCCACTTTTGCCAGATACATCTGATGAAGTGGTTTTTACCCACAAACGCCCATGCCCAAATCCATCTATTTGTCTTTAATGTGCCAAAGGACTCCTCATTGATTTTGCAGATACAAACTAATACGGCGACTCTTCTGAGACTTCTAGAACAAGAAATACAAGACTACCCAATTGAAAACTTTTCCATTGCCCTTCCCTATCATGAGAAAAAGTTAAGAACTTGACTACCCCGTCACACACACTTTACACAAATGGCACAAGGGACATGCTCACCCATTTCTACAATTCTGAATGGTCCCGCCTGAGGGCTTCCAGCGAGCTCTGGGGAGAACATGTTATCTGCAGGACTAGATCATGTTTTGTGCCTGGTTGCCAAAACAGCAGCCGTTCAGCAACCCTGTTCCCCAGCACCATCCTTGAAGTTCACCATGGTTTACCTGCAAGTGCTCATGGGGGAGGGAGAATGCAGAGGCAATAGATGGGGCAGCATGCAGGGTCTCATGGCCCCGCCAGATTTCTCCCACAGTAGGGGGAGGGAGCAGCCAACTACAGGGAGGGGCATGCCATGTGCGTGTGCGTGTGCGTGTGTGAGATAAGAGAGAGAGAGAAGGGGTGCCAATTTTGGCTTGACACATTCCTGGAGGTTTCCCCACGACATAAATCTTTAATTAAAAATTAATCTAATTCCTAGAGACTCTAGGACAGTCCTTGAGGGCTGACAACCCTAGGAGTGACTCAAGCTGCTGAGGATCAGGGTGACCTTTAAATTGTGACCCTCCCTGCAATCAGCAGGTACCATTCATCTCTGAGAAAATGGCTAGAATAGAAGGTGACAGAAACTGTGGGCTTCCATTCATTACTGTTGTCCTTCAGACTTTAGATTCTCGAGCCACTGCTGCACAGTAAACATTTTCCTCTCTCCATCACAGCATTGCACTGTGGTGGCGCCTTCAGCAGATTTCATTCAGGTGGTGGAAAGCCCAGCTAATGGGGACCATCTTCACACCATTTCTAATGTTTCCTTGCAAGTGATGGACTCACATCAGGTAACGTGGCCTGAGAATCAATTCAATGTAGACCAAACGTCTGTGTCCATGGCGACGTGGTAACGCGTGGGGAGGAAATAAAAGCAAGGTCTTCAGGGCTTGAATTTCAGCCAGTGCTGCTTACGGACATTTTGGAAGAACTTCATGCCACCAAACGTGCTTTGAATCCTTGTCTCCCCATGCAGGTAGGGACCAGTTGGCGAGTACCAGGGTCTTCTGCTGGTTGACATTATTACGGCCTTCTTTGAGGAGGGCAGGTTGTCAACCGATTTAAAAGGAAGCACATGAGCCTTCTTTGGGGAGGACAGGCTGTCAACCGATTTAAAAGGAAGCACATGTCTCCGCTCAAGGAAGGTCATCTCTCAGCACTGGCAATCTAGCTAGTCAGTATTTGAGTGATCGTTTTTGCTTAAGGTTTTAGAACAGGTTGTGGCAAGAAAACTCTTCAAACACTGAGACTGGGATGGTTCCATTTAATGTTGTCAATCAAGGCTCTGAATCATGTCCAGCACAGAGACTACAATTTTTATGTAGATGATGTCATCTCAGGGATGGATAATACCTGGTATCTAATCATATATCAGTAATCAGCCACCTTACACACAGTAGAGAGGCACTGTTGACTCATTTCAATCCCTGGCAGAATTGGACAGGGCTGCTCACAATTCACTTTGTTCTTTTCTCTCTGACGTACTTCAAGTTGCTTCCTGGTTCTTTATTGCCATCCTTCTTAGGCGCAGTTGTTTGGGGAGCTTAGTAAGGTTCTATACTCCAGTTAAAATAGTGGAAGTACATTGTTAACACACAGCTTTACATCTGACCAGCCCAACCCATGGGCACATGTGGCTGAATGTTTTTCAATATTTGGGTGCTACCAAGGCATGGGTGGCCACAAGCCAGTTGATATGCAGTTCCAGATAGGACTAAGGCTATGTCTATACTAGCAGCTTCTTGTGCAAGAACTGTTTTGCAGAAGAGTTCTTGTGCAAAAAGTCTTCCATAAGAGCACATCTACACTGGCATGTGCTTTTGCGCAAGAGCGCCTATGGCAGTGTGGACGCTCTCTTGCGCAAGAAAGCTCTGATGGCCATTTTAGCCATAGAGGTTTCTTGCGCAAGAAATTCATGTTGCCTGTCTACACTGCCCTCTTGTGGAAGAGGGCTTATTTCTCATAGGAAGAGGAATAACTCTTCTGGAAGAAGCCCTGTTTTCCAACACTAGACTGTAAATTTACTTGCGCAAGAACGCATGTGCAGTTTAGACACCCGACCAAGAACTTGTCGGTAGTACTGCCTGTCTACACTGCCTAAGCCAATGGCAGTGGGCTAGGGAAGCAATCAGACAGGAAGCAAACAGCAGTGGTCAGTCCTGAAAACAAACAGCAAAAGATTTCGAGAAGAAGGATGGGATGGTCAACATGGTGTAAATTCTAACCATGTTACCAGGCAGATTTGA